AGCAGAAAGGAATTGGACTTAAAAATTTATTTCAATTTGGCACTGAAACGGGAAGGTCTAAACAGGAAGTCAGCCTTCCGTTTCTTTGTAGACAGAATAAAGCAAAGACAACGTAAACTAGAGCTCAGAAAATCGCTTCTAAAAGATTAACTTTCATCATTTAAAATTGTTGAACCCCCCTTCGGAAGCAGGAGAAGAAGGGGGATTTTTTTCGGACTGTTTAAACCTGCAGAAGTGAGTTTAAAGTAAAGTAACTTTCCACCGTCCTGATCCTGGAGCGGGGTGTCAGGACTGACGTTTGAAGCTCATTGACCAGAGACAAACAATCTTGACAGATAGCTGAAAGAAGAGAAACATAGTGATTCCACTGTTCCCTTTCGCATTTTAAAGAAATAAATATTGACAAAATATCTCAAACAGGAGACTTTGTTGCTAGATTCGTCCTTAAAAGAAAGAACAAATAGAAGTTTTCCCCCTAGAGGGAGACTGTGAAACTGTAACTGCAACTAACTCCAGGGAGCTTGCAGCTGTTACAGATTACAATCGTGGGAAATAGATTTGTGACCTTGTAGGACAATGTATTCAGAAGCTCTGTTGTGTGCTCTCTGTAAAACAAATGCCCTACTGGAACAGTTAAATGAGAATACGGATTTGATGACTAATGCGGTCAGAATTTTGAACAGGCAGTGGGAAACTATGTGGAGCCCACCCAGGAATTAAACCAGGAGTGTGCCCTGACAGAACAGATGAGAGAAGAGGATGTTGCTGAACCTTGGGCGCCAGAGATGGAGGGAGCTGTGGCCCTGCAGGAACATGAGCTTTTGGATTTGACAAATGAATTTGGAAAAAGCCAGATTTGGAAAGATAAGGTTTGGACTGGTTTGGAAATGGGGGGTTGGATAGACCCCCCTATGCAGGGATGTTTGGACTTTCCAAGTCTGGCAATGGGCCGTGAGATGTTTGGGGCTGTGGGGGCTCTTAATCTTGGAGAAATTCTGAAACATGTTTTTAAATACCACATGGAGTTTAGTCTGGACTTTGGAAAAGGGGCTGATTTGTTGAAAAGGGTCAAAAACATTACCAAGCTGGAGTTCCCATGTGTGAAAGGAGAATATGAAGAAGAGCTGCGGAAGGGACATGGAAGAGACTTAAGGGCCTCGGATAGAAGGTTACCAGGTTAATGCGCTAGATCAGTGGGATAAAGAGGACTGACAAAACCCGGGACCAGGAGGAAGGGACGCTGGATGAAGATTGGATTGTTTTTATTTCTTTCTTTTTATTACTAGGATTGTTTTATAAAATTGATGAATGTTAGAAAAATGTTGGAACAAAATTACTTGGCTCTAGCAAAAATGTCTAAAGAATTAGGTAAGAATATTACGGCTATGAGAAGTTGGTAAAAACAAGAGTTAAGTTTTAAGTTTTAAGGTTTTCTTTAAGATAAGATGAAAATAGATTAAGGTAATGTAATGACAGAATATTATGAAATATGGAAAGGATTTGCTGCGATAATTAATAACTAGGATACAAAAAAAGGGAGGAGGAGGAGGAGGTCAAAGAAAGAAGGTAATGAAAGTTGAGGATTTGAGAATGATGGATTTGTTTTTATTTGTTTGTGGTGTATTTTTTTCTTCTGAATTTACATTGTTTGATGTGGTTTGTTTTCTCTTTGTTTTCTTTTTTTTTCTGCTGTGTTTTTTTCTGTAATTCTAAAAAATTTTCAATAAATATCATTTAAAAAAAATAATAGAAAACCAGGTAAACTGCCCCTGCTGGGCCCGGATTTCTAGATTGGATTAAATCTGGAAAGGCCAAGGAATTTTGAGGTGTGTGAAGGAAATCCCATACTTCTCCTCCTCTCTGCTTCAAATGTATCTTTTAATTTGAAGCCTGGACAAAAATGTAAGACAGACTTGTAAATGGATTACCAGCCATGCTTTATTAGCTCTCCTTAATTCACCTCACAGGGCTGAGGGAAAAGTTATTAGCAGATATATGGCCAGTAATAAGCTAATTATAAATCTGACAGATGGGAGGTTTTGAAGAGAGGGTAGTTTTGTATGTGAGATAGAACTGTAATTGTGCATTAAAGATTATGAATTAATATTGATTTAATAAAGCTGCAGCAATTTATTTATGTGTCAGGAGAGGGTTATTTATTCTCTGGACTGGGCTCATCCAATAGGCGAAATGTCTTCTGTGACTCCAGACCTTTTAAGCTCTGTGGGTTTCCACTGAATACCACTTTGTACTTTAGGCCACTCCACACATTATGGTACATGTTTGTTTTAAATGATAACCTGAGATGGATTAAGTGTGTCCCTAAATGAGCAGATGTATCATACAGGTGCACTCTTAAACAAGCTGGGATTGACTGGCAATTCTTGCTTTGGCCATAACCTTGATGGCAAACTCTGAGTAATATCCAATGTGGCAATCATGCCAATTATGTTCGCTGCAGCAACGTAAGTTCTTTACGTGACAAACATATGAGCATCCAGTTCAGAGATAATGGTCAAAGTGTAATTTGGCCACAATGAACAGGCTTTGTGCTTCTGTACTCCCAAGTCTTTTCACACTCCAGATTTTAGTGGCGGAGCTGTCCGCGGGCCGGATTTAGAAGGCGATTGGGCCGAATCCAGCCCCTGGGCCTTAGTTTGCCTACCCATGGGAAAGATCAACAGTTTGAAGAATGAAGGATACAACACCATATATGGTTGGGACAATATTATTGGGGGGGATTACCACATGCAGGAAAGAACAATGATTACAGACTGAGTACCTCACTTGAAACTTTATAAGTTACTTAATATATTAACACAAATTGAAACCATAAGATTATAGCTGTTGCATAAAAGATTACTATCTTGAAGGGAATGTAGTAGAAGTTATTAAGATTTGGGAATGCAGTGGGGGAGAAACACCCCAAAGAGGAACCCATCAAAACTAGCACATCCGGAAGTCACTTTAACTAAATTGTATAATTCGGTATATAACTAATTGGTTTTAATAATTGTATTCTTCTTATTATTTTCTTCTTCTTTGGCGATCACTTGTAGCTGAGTAAGATTGTCTTCCATAAACACGGTTTTAACAGTAGGTCCGTAAGTGACTGAGGAGGCCAATTCTGGATCCACATGTCCTTCTACAGTGGGGACATAGGTTACCAGGCGGGAGTTGATCATGGTGAGAGTTTGCCAAACGTGCTTTCCTCTTAGCACGTTTCTCCCTTTTGTCCTGAGTTCCAACGTCTTCAAAGTCCATAATAAATAACAAGATGAAAGATGAAAAAATCTTTTTAAATAATTCCAGTGGCACGTTAAAGATCAACTAAATATAAGCTTTCAAATATGAGCTTTCGTGTGTAATGCACACTTCGTCAGATGCTCCATGACACCTTTGGTAAAGGCTGTTCTCCAATTGGAGCGCTCACAGGCCTGTGTTTCCCAGTTGTCAGTATTTATACTACATTTTTAAAGATTTACCTTGAGAGAGTCTTTAAACCTCTTTTGTTGACTACCAGCATTACGCTTTCCATTTTTAAGTTCGGAATAGAGTAGTTGCTTTGGAAGACGATAATCAGGAATCTGCACAACATGACCAGTCCAACGAAGTTGATGTTGAAGAATCATTGCTTCAACACAGGTGATCTCACTTCTTCCAGTACACTGGCATCTCTTGAGCTTTTTTTATCCACCAGGTATTCTTTAGTTCTGTGGTTCTTCTTTGAACCTCAGCCTTAGCATTGGCATAGGTTTTTTTCTTAGTGGCGCAGTTTTTATCTCTTTGCCAGATCTGAAAGGCCTTCCGTTTCTTGTCAATAATATGTTCAGTCTCACCGTCATTCTTATCAAACCAGTCCTGGTGTTTATTGGTTTGGTATCCAATAGTTTGTTCACCGGCTGCAATAATGGATGTTTTTAGCTTGGTCCAGTGTTCCTCAATGTTATGAGGGAATTCCGAAATGCAGATTTTCCGAAAGCAGATATTGATTTTTAAAAATGTGCTAAAATTTATGGTGCAGATGTGATGTTTGATTCCTGTTTGAAATCCTGTTCAGCACCGACAATATTGAGCGAGGTGGGCCATTGGTCTGACTAGCTATGGTGCTGATAACACCAGGGTTGCAGGTTTGCCCCCGTACGGCGTAGCTGCATATTTCTGCATTGCAGGGGGTTGGACTAAGATGATCCTCAGGATCCCTTCCAACTCCACAATTCTGTGATTCTGTATGAGGCAGCCTCCAATGCTCTCTCCTTGGTGTCAGGTGGGCATGCAGGAGCCAGGCCATGTGATCAATAGGACTCTGCAGGACTAGGGCCTTCCTAAGTTTGTTCTGGAGAGGCAAGGCAGAGGCTGAGGCTCACCACACAGGTGAGGCTGATTGGTAACTCACAGCACCTGGTGGCAAGAGCCGGGAAGGGATATAAAATCAGCATTTTCCCTTCAGCTCTTAGCCATAGCAACACGTTCCCTGCCTTGCTGCGTTTGACTCCTTGCTTCTTGATCCTCGGACCCGACTCCTTGACTCCTTGCTTCTTGGTCCTCGGACCCCTGACTCCTTGCTTCTTGGTCCTCGGACCCCTGACTCCTTGCTTCTTGAGCCTCGGACCCCTGACTCCTTGCTTCCTGACCCTCGGAACCTTGGCTTCTTGACTCCCAGCTCTCTGACCCTCAGACTCTTGGCTTTCTGACTCCTGGCTTCTGGACTCCCATTCCTGCTCCCACCCCGCCATCTTGCCCCCGGTCCCAACATCCCCAGCTGGGTTTTCGAACACCCGTGAACCGGACCATGACAGTTTGCTGTGTGTGGCCAACCTACATCCCGGCCAGGGTGCAAGATCATAGAATCCTAGAGTTGGAAGAGACCCCAAGGGCCATCGAGTCCAACCCCCTGCCAAGCAGGAAACACCATCAGAGCACTCCTGACATATGGTTGTCAAGCCTCTGCTTAAAGACCTCCAAAGAAGGAGACTCCACCACACTCCTTGGCAACAAAGATGGACGGAGCCCGGCCTGTTGATCTTGTCACGGTGTTGCAGAACCTCCACACGCAGGTAGCTACGCTCCAGGGGCAGGTTCAAGCTCTTCGAGTGGCCCCTGCTGCAGCCCCGGCCCAACGTGCTCCCCTCATCCCATCGCCAGAGAGGTCCAGGGGGGAGCGTGGGGCCCTTCGAGGCTTTGTAAGCGAGTGTCGGCTGATGTTCGCCACCTGTGCAGCAGACTTTCCCACCCCACGGAGCCAGGTGTGCTTTATGGTCAGCCTCCTTGTTGTGGGCCCGGCACTTTCTTGGGTCACTCTAAACCTTGAGGCCGATCACCCTCTGCTGGGGAATTTGGACAACTTCATTGCCGCCCTAGAGGGCATGTTTGGGGAGCCGAATCGCGCCCAGGCAGCTGAGATGGCACTGCAGAACCTCCAGCAGGGGGCTCGCCCGGTTACCGAGTACACCTCAGAGTTCCGTCGGGGGGCTGCGAACACCCTGTGGAATGAAGCCGCCTGCCGGTTCCACTTCCATCAGGGACTTCATCCCCGCATTAAGGATGAACTGCTGCGGGTGCCCCCCCCCCCCAGCCCTGACGGACTTTATCACGTGTGTTAACATTGACACACGCCTATCCGAGATTCCAGGATCAAATCAGAAACCGGGACAGCTTTTCTAATTCAGGGACGTCCCTGGAAAATAAAAATAATAACAATAACAATTTATTATTTCTACCCCGCCCATCTGGCTGGGTTTGCCCAGCTACTCTGGGCAGCTTCCAACAAAAGATTAAAATTACATTAAAACATCAGTCATTAAAAACTTCCCTAAATAGGTCTGCCTTCAGATGTCTTCTAAATGTCAGATAGTTATTTCTTTGACATCTGATAGGAGGGCGTTCCACAGGGCGGGTGCCACTACCGAGAAGGCCCTCTGCCTGGTTCCCTGTAACTTCGCTTCTCTCAGGGAACCGCCAGAGGGCCCTGAACCTCAGTGTCCAGGTTGAACGATGGGGGTGGAGACACTCCTTCAAGCATACTGGAAAATAGGGACACTTGGAGGGTCTGGTATTGGGCCAGCCCTGAGGAACACTTTAGGTTCAATCCCAGGCAACTCTAGTTAAACAGATCAGATATAATCAGTGATGTGAGAGACAGTTGTCTGACACCCTTCAGAGTCACTGCCAATGAGCATAAACAATACTGGTCTCAACCAGGAATGGACTAAACTATCTATTCCAGCTCTTTTAGTTTCTAATTGTTGCAAACTTAATTTCAGTTTTATGCAGCAATCGGTGATTAAAAAAAATCATCATGAAAATTATTAAGTATCTCTCCTAATACACATTTTATGTATGGTTTTAACTAGTAAACACATTTTTGCAAGTAATTTATCCTACAATAATGCATTTTATATATATTTTCACTGACATGTACATTTTCATACACATATTCTTCTAATACATGCATTTGTGTTCACGGTATGTTATTTGGAGAACTGCATTGCAAAAATGGGAGACTAGCAGATTTCAAAGGCTAGATATGTTTTTGTTTGTGTATTGGTTTGACAAGTGCAAGTTTCTCATTAAAATGAAAACAAAGCTGAATTACTCCTCCATCCCTAACTTAGGTGAACAAATTGTTTTAAGGCAGCTTCCTATGTTCCATTCCAAACCACAGTTTCCAGTGCTGTTTGGGAAGTAAACTATGGTTAGTGCACATTCAGAAGTGTGTGTGTGTGTGTGTGTGTGTGTGTGTGTAGAATGGGCCACGAAAGGGAAGGAGGGAGAGAAATGGGGAGGAGGAGATGTGTGAACACCAAGCCTCTTGACAAATGGCCTGACCAAGTACTTTAGTATGCCAAAGTATGAAACGAAGCTGCATATCATTAGAAGTGTGAACATTTGTCCTACTTTACAGAGGACGGACCCCTGTTTGAAGGTGTCCTCTATTTGATGGGCTGTTTAGTCTGAGCATGGTTGAAAGAAGAGAGAGCAGCAGTGGACATGAAGCTGTCATGGACTGGCTGGATGCAAAGGAGTGGTGGGAGGCATCAATGGGGAACCCCCAAGGGGACCTCCAAGGGACAAAGCCTCAGAGCCAGGGGATTGGTGGCAGGAGGAGGCTGCATGGTCAGGAGGAGAAGACTGGGAGGAGGAGGTATCGGAAGTTGAAAGAGCAACAGGGTTTAATGAGCAGGAAGAGGCAGTAGCAGAGAGCAGTCCAGAATCAGGAACAGAAGCAGAGAGGGGTCAAGAGGAAGAGTGGAGGCAGGTTGCTGAATAATCCAGGGAGTCTCCCCCTTCTGCGGTGACCTGCCCCCCCCCTTCAATGAAGAGAAATCAAGAGGGCAGAGCAACGAGACAAGACGCTGGGGAAGGAACCAGAGGAGGAGCCTTAGAGAGCGGTGGGAAGCCAGAGACCCTCAGTCCTCGCAACTGCTTCTTTGGGGCAAGACCTACTGAGAAGGGTTGCTGTGACTCCCAGGGGCTGAGATCCCTTTGCCCTCCCCTAAAGTATTTGAGGGGGCTGCCCACCCCAGAGTTGATGGGCATTGCCATTCAAATGGTGTGCATGCACCTCATCATGTGATCTGCCCCCCCCTTATTTTATTAAAGTTGGCACCCTTGCTGTGACCACTAGGACTGAGCTGTTTGGGTTTATTTGAATAAAGAGTTAACTTCAATGACATCAACTGATTTATGGTTTTATTGCTGACCTATGCCTCACTCCAGCTCTGGACAGAAGTGACCATTAGCAGTTATTTATTTATTTTTAATTTAGCAGGATTTATGTACTGCTTAATCATCAAAACTTCTAAGCGATTAGCACCTGGATGGCAGACTGAGCAGACACACAAATCACTTGGTCTTTCCCACTATGGTGAGACATAAGTGTGTTTCTATTTAAGTTATGTTATAGTAATGATTTCTAAATGTGTGCCTCTCTCTCTATAAATCAACATATGCACATTTTATGCAGATCTATGTCCTCTTCTTTGGTGATGCCTTTCTCCTTCTGGAGCAATGTGAAAACGGTCACCTTCATAACTAAACACACAGACAGCTGGCCATGGGGGTTTGTGATATGTGGGGGTTCTTTGTGAACAAATCAATGTTGAAAGGTTTCCCGTAAGGCAGAAAGCATGGAAACCCCAGGACTGATGGATTTTAATGGCCTGATAGTTGTAATTAAAAGGATTGTTCCTTCATTTTCAAATCCTGCTGGAAGATAATGGCCATCTCTGTGCCTTTAGTCATTTTATTTTTAGTTTTGATGTGTCTCTTAATTTTTGAGATTTTGATCTGGCAACAGTGACCTGGACAGCTGTCTTTAGAATGAGGGAAGAACTGAGACTGACATCTTGGTGATCAATAGTAGGTGGTTGTTTGGATATGAAACGTGAAGGAGCAGCTCAGAATTTACACACACCTCTCAAAATACTTGGCTTAGCCCAGCGCGTTTGGCAGTATCACATTAATCATTAGTGCTTCAAGGCATATTTGGTCTTTTGCTCCTTGTTTTGTTTTTAATTAGTTTGTGTCCAATTATGCACTCTGTAAAACAGGTACTTATTTATAAGCAAAGAGAGGAATGACATGTGCCCACAAATGCAAATAATAGTAATTTGCCCAACTGCTGGCTTAACATTACCTGGGAAAGTTGCCTGATGTCATTCCTAAGGAATCTGGCTTTTTTAAAACTAAGTTTCCACTCCTTTTGAGCAGATGTGGCACCCAAGAGAATGTTAGAATACCATTCCCTTGCTTAGTACAGTGTGATAATGGGGGAGACATGATCCTACAAACCACCCTTCTGCTCCACTGCTTCCTCTCACTGTCACTGCACTTCCTGGCTTAATTCAAAGTGCTAGTTTTGATTTATAAAGCCTTATGCAGATCAGGACCCTAATACCTCGAGGACCGCCTCTCACTACATGAACTTGTGTTTGTCCTCAGAGACCCTTCTCTGTGTGCGGAAGGTGGCAACACGAGAATGGGCCATTTCAGGGTTGACTCCCCATTATTGGAATACTCTCCACAGGGAAGGGTACAAGGCTAAAATATTTCTGTTTACCCTGACATTTGACCATTAATGTGAAGGATAGTGGTATTTTATTTTTCTTTTATCCTTTTTTGTTTGTTTTAGTGCTCATCTTGTACTAGTGTAGGTTCCTTTCTATGAATATGATTGAAATAGCATTTTTGGGCATTGTGTTTTATGATAGTTTTATATGTGGTTTTAGTGTCTTTTATGCTGTAAATCACTTTAGGACATTTGTGTGAGTGTGAAAAGTATTGATGTTTGGGAATTCTAACAAAAATGGAAATAGGAGCAAAAATTGTTGATATTTGCTTGTTCATTCCTGAGATCTTCTGTCTCTGAGCTACTGCCCTTTCTTCCACAGTGACACATAGAGGCCCATAACTTCCACACCCGCATCCTAGAACATCTGAAGATGGATGGTAAGAAAAATCTCACTAGCATTGAAAACATGCTGTGGGCTTCCCTTTAAATATTTTTCCTGCTGCCCAGTACAGCGAAACCAACAACTGAATTTATCCACTATGTGCGTGACATGTGGAGCATTGTAGCAAATTAAAATTTTGGCTCCTGTTGTGGGCTGCTTCATCTGGAGCATTGTGGGGAAATTAATGTGAGGGGCCCACAGCACTGATCAAAAGATTGCCACTACCACGTGATCCCAACCGGGGGGGCACACTGCAACCCCAGCCTTTCCCAACCTACTGCCCTCCATATGTTTTGCCAGCCAGCATGACAAAGGGTCAGGGATGATGAGAAGTGTAGTCCAAAACATCCGAAGGGCTCCAAGTTAGGCATGGCTGTGGTACCCTATCGGCATGGACAGAACACCTAGCAATTTCATAATTTGTGACTTGGCTCTTGGTCCTTGCTAAATAGAGAGCGCTCCAACGATGCAAACTGCCTATCATGCAAAGTCAGCATGGGAATGCAAACTCAGCGCCGGCAAACACCAGCAAGGATAACCTGGGCTGGTGCCAACCAAAGTGCAAGGCATCAGCATGTGAGTGCGGCTGGAGAGACAAAGAGCCCACGCAAAGCCTCCTCGCAGATGTGGGAGGAAAGGGGGGGAGTAAGCATCTAAGGAATGTGCAGAGTGCTCTCTGGCTCACTCCTCTGATCAGAGGCCTCTGGAGAAATATGCGGCTGCCCTCTGACCCGCACAGCCTCCACTCTGAAGGAAAGGGCAGCTGCAGACCAGGTGTGTCAAAGAACATCTTGGCTCCGGAAATGAGGATTTCGTTTTTATTTTGTGTACATTTGCTGCACTATCTGTCCTCTAAGCAGTGCCTCTGTAGGGAGATGTAATTGGTAGCCATCTAAGAAGTGCAGGATCATGGTTTATAAAATTTATGAGCAGGGTGCGGTGGGGAGAGAGACATTTTCCCTCCCTCTTTCATAATGCGGGAACACCAGGTCACCCGATGAAAGTGACTGGCAGTATGTTCAGTCCAGACAAGAGAACCACAGAGGCAGAATGGGCCTGGCAGGCCATCTAGTCCAACCCCTTGCTGGATGCAGGGTTTCACTGCAGGATTTTGCTACAGCCTCCCTGGCAGAAAGATGCCCAGCTTCCCCTTAAACCCCTTGTCAATAGGCAAGCAGCTTGGAAATAAGTTCAGAGCTCCTCCTGTTTACAGAGCATCATTCTGATTTACTTGCACGAAGCTCACCTGGATTCTAACTGGATGAGTTGGTTTGCTTCCACCCACCACCTTTCAACGTAATATCTGAAAAATCATTTGATGTGAGGAAGAGCTTTCTGCCACTACATAACATGTTTTGTGAAAATATATTCTTTGTTCAATCATACTGTTGAAGTCGGATACCATTAGGACTATAAAAGATGCTGAAAATCATGCAATAATTTGTGCACACAAAAATGGGAGGGGGACAATGAGTTGGCACAGTCACAGTTGTAGTGCACCAGGCTGAAATGTATAGCTTGGGATATGTTTCTGCAATCAGGGTTGAATTTGATATGGCCCTTAATGTGCCTGAAATGCTGTCATGTGCACTTTGTGAGGCAGAAAGGAAAGATCTTCATATAGATAAAAACAGTCAGCTGTGTCCTAGGTCTCAGTGAGATCCAACAGATCTTGCCAATGAGCTGCAGAAACTGAGCCCCAGAACACATCCCAGAATGCTTTGCAACACCTAGGATTCATAGAATCAAAGTATTGTAGAGTTGGAAGGGACCCAAGGGTCATCTAGTCCAACCCCCTGCAATGCAGGAATCCCAACTAAAGGATGAATGATAGGTGGCCATCCTGTCATGGCTCGCATTTTTAGGTACATTTTTGCTTTAAAGTGTAGAAATGCTTTCTATTCTATTGATTCAAGAAGGTTCTGGAACTTTCTCTCAAGGTCATGCAAACTATAAGAACAGGCTAGAAGGAGCCTGGCTTTTCTCTTTCTCTTATCTTCTTGGTTCTGTCTTTTGTTCCTGTGTGGCGATCTGTACGTAGTATGTTTAAGTGCTAAGGTTTTGCTGGAACTGGATTTGTAAGGACTATGCCAATCCTGTGGAGCTGGATTTGTGAACTGTGATGCTCTTTTACCTTCAGTAAATAATACTGGATGAAGCAGATTTTCTCTGAAACTTTTTTGGAACCCTGAACTGTGTTTACTCTGCTAAACTATGGGTTGAGGTTTGCTCTGGATCATTATGGAGCAAAACCATGAGACATCCAACCTCTGCTTGAAAACCTCCAATGATTCCATGGAAGACATTGCAAGACTTCTTCAGCAGATGATTCAGGGCAGATATTTCTGAAGCGAGAGAGGTTGAAAACTTTTAGTCATAACCTAAGAGCCTTTTAGTATGACTCAGCCTTAAGACACCTGCCTGGATGCAAACTGTCCCCCAAATAAGTGGGATTTTTTTGGGAGCTTTGTTCACAGCACTGCTGTTAATAGAAATGCCGAAGTGTTCCTCAAGAGCTGTGCCTGGTACAGATGGAGGCATACATTGGATGTATTCTGTGCTTTAAAATATTTCCGCATCAACTTCAGCCAAACATCTCCAACGTGAAAGTCCAAGTTCTGTGCCCAGTGTCATTCCTGCAAATTTCACTTTTGCATAATATATTCTGCATTGTCTACATTGTAAACCTGACAGTGCTGCGTAATGTATTCTGCTCTTGCTAGCTATGGATAGGGGTTGGCATCTTTCAGCAGGTGCTAAGCAGGGGTGATTCCTGGATTTTGAGGCGTGTGTTCCTTGTGCACGATTCCCTCAGCGGGGCCTCTGCCCTGGGCGCACCCACTTCCTCCTTGCTAGTGTTGCTACTGACTTGCCTTTCCCTCTGGCCTAATCCATACTGCAATCCATGCCACCTCCTGGAAAGATGGTGGGGAGGATTGACAAGGTTTATGGAGGCTACAGCTCTTTCTGCTTGGTCTCTCAGGGAGAGCAAGTGGCCAGACACAACAAGCAAGCAGAAGCTGGGCCAGGAGGCTGCAGGAGTTGGCAGCGAGCCCTCCTCTAGGACGTGAGCCTTGGCTGGAGACCAACCAAGCCCACCTTTAACTCCAGCTCTGCTACTAAGGCCCCACCTTCTCAGAAGGGTCCACCACTAACTCCAGACTGCTGTTGCTGTTCCTCATTGCCCTTGTTTGTTCAGCTGCCCACCTACTAGCTGAGGGTGTGGATGCTGATGAAGAAAGGTGTGTGTGCATGTGCCTTTACCCTTGGGGGAAAAGAACATTGAGTGCACACATCCTGGAATTCACAATCCCTGGCATATTGTCAGGGACTGGGCAGAGGAGGAATGGTGGAGACCACCTCCCCAGCCTGACCCTTCCAGAGAAGAAGAAAGTTCAGAATTACAACAGGGGTTTGAGGGAGGTCACATCTCAGAGGAAGATGAGAGGAAAAGTTGGGAAATAATGGGAGAGGAGGAGGAGGCAGAGCCGGAGCAGCTGGCTGACACGTTATCACTAGAAAGCATTCCAGATCCACCATCTCCCAGAACCCAGCGAGCCTTAAAAGTAGGAGAGCAAAGAGCTCGGAGACAGATGGCCCTAAGCGGCAACTGTAAGGAGGGTGGTGCTGTTGACAAATGAGGAAGTGGGAGAGAAGGGTAGGGGAGATTTACTCGGGACAAGGCCATTATTCCAAGAGGCTGCATTCCCAAGCCTCTCTCTGTAAATATTGAATAAAAAGCAGATGGTAAGGACTTTTCCTGGTCTTCTCTGTTCCTGGCAACCTGCCGTGGGGGTTGGTTCCTCTGCCGCCTGACACATGTAGATTCTTATTCCTAACTCCAAACAAGTCTGAAGGTATATAGTGATGTGTGCACATGGCTATGTGTGGAAACGCACTCTCCACATGCTCAGAGGTGATATGTTCCCATCACTTCTCCTGCAGGTTCTGTGTGGCTCTGTCCTGTGCCTCAGAAAGTCAGTGTGATGATTAAGGCAAACCTGTGCAACCTGAGGCCAACGTCCCATGGCAGAAGTGGGGAGAGTGCTGTTGTGCTCAGAGTGCGCGCCTGGGCATCCCAGAGGCATTTGCTGGCCACCATGAGAACAGGATGCTGGCTTAGATGGCCTGTTGGCCAGACCCAGCACAGCTCTCCTTAAGGCTCCATCGTCCCTGACCACTGCTTTGCCCATGTCTGGCTGGACTAGCATTCGGTTCAATTTCTGTACAAAGCTTCCTGGGTGAACAATGAGCTAGTCATGATCTCTCAGCCCAACCAGGGCTCTTGTAAGAATAAAATGAAGACAGGGACCCTGTACATCACCTCAGCTCTTTGGAAGAGAAGGTGGGAGATGAACATAATGTTAATCTTCCTTCCTTTCGTTTCCTACCCACGCTTTATCATAAGGTCCGAGTGGTTTACAACAATAGAAAAGCAATTACGGTATAAAACTAATAAGAATAAGAATACTAATACTGCCTGAAAATAACTCTCTTCGCTAGTGACATTTAAACCCTCACATCCGCAGCTTTGCTCCGTTTTCGGGGGGGGGGCATGGAGAAAAATGAGTGAAGAGGAAAATGCACTTAGCGCATGTTCAGAGGAAATATGTACCTTTCTTCTAATTCATGTAGGGCAGCACTTGGCAGTCAAGCCAGTTCTGGGCCTGAGTCCTGGCTGAAAAGAAAAACAAGGCACCCACTCTCTCCGCCCCGGGCTACTTTTTTATTTTTGCAGAGTGACAAAGTTCGCAGGGTTTTGTATGCTGGGTGGCTTTGCATCCTCCCCGCCTCCTGCTTCCTTCACGACTGCTTAGCAATCAAATCGAAGCTAAGAGTGACACTTCGCGTGCATATCACACACCAACAGACATGCACACATGCACACCAAGGCGCAGTGCTCCTGAAGTGGCACCTGCCCCTTTAAGAGAGGAGCCGGGGTGACGGCGGAGCGAGACTGTTGCTGTTGCAAGCAAAAGCTGAGCTGTGTTTTTTGGCCTGAGCTGCCTGCTGCTGCTGCTGCTGCTGCTGCTGCGGAGCGCAGCTATCAATCTTTCCTGCTCCCCACCCCTCCCCGGATCTCAGAAAGAATGAGGATCTCAAACTTGGCGCTTTGCAAAGGCTCCAGAAAGAGAATCTGGAGGAGTTGCTCCTGCCGCCGCCGCCGCTGCTGCTGTTCCTCTTCCTGCTGCTGCTGCTGCTGCTGCTTGTAGGTTCAGACATCTTAGAAAAAGAGGAGAGGTTTCCGGGCACTCCGAGCAAGAGACACCGGACTCGCTCGCTCCGCTTTTGGATTTACAAAACACGCCTGGCAGATGGCGAAGGAGGAGAACCAGAGGCATCTTTTGCTCTTCCTCCCGGGATTGATTTAAGGAATATGTTTTAATCGCTGTTTATCGGATTTGCTTTCTTCGTCGCTGTTTTTAAAAATATTATCTTAAATATTTTTTGTATTGCAACCTCGGAGGACCCCCCCCCCCTTCAAGCTTTCTACTTCGCTGATCTTTCTGAAACTGGGGCGAGAGAGGAATTTGAAAACAACACACACACACAAAAGGGATTAACAGTTAAAAAGCAGCGATGGAGGGAAAAGCCGCTGGTTTTGCAAGAAGGTAAGGCGGAGAAAGATTGAAGGGGCGCCTCCTGGTCCCCTTCCCCAAATATCGCCCCCACCCCACCCCACCAGTCAGCCTCTTTCACTGCTAAGAGGGCAGAAAAATTGGGATAGATCAACGCCGATTCCCTCCCCGCCCCCAGGCTCGATCGTTTCCTCAGAGATGTCGGGAGTCTTGCCTATTATTATTATTTAAAAAATATATTTGGATGTGCAACGGAGATGACGATATCAAAGCAATGCATTTTTGAAAATCGGGCGGGGGGGGGGAGATATTGCACGAGTTCCTGCGTGTAGGAGGAGTAACGGGGGGGGGGGGGAGAAGGCGAAGCAAATCCCAGGATTCAAAACACAACAAAACACCCCCTTGTTCCGTCGCGGTCTTCTCCGCCTCAATTTCTCCTTTCCTTGTGGATCTAGTAGAAAATTCCCTGGAAGTGCTGTGTGTGCGCGGGGGGGGGGGGGGCTGGGGCTGGGAATTCCCTTCAGGTTGGACGGCGCCCCCTCCCCCGCCCGCCCGCCGAGTAATTTTAATTTATGTTTAATTTTGCGCGTGTCTTGGACGTGATGAGATAGTTTTCCAGCCCTCCAACTCGGGGGAAGTCTTCTAGCGCCTTGATCCTGCCCTCTTCGACTTAAGTTCTGATTGATTCCAGCAAAGTTTACTTGCGAGCAAGGCTCCAGCCCGGCGCAGTTCTCGCTTGGCTGAAATCAGTGGGACTGGATTCTTTGCTTAGGATTCGACGGCGCACTCGGAAGAAAGAGTTTACACCCAGGTAAGCGTGGGGAGGATTGCAGCTTGGCAGTGACTCCGAAGCGGCGCTAGTTTACCTCGGTGCAAGCCTCACTTGCTTGTGTGTGTGCGGCGGACGGGGGCAGATGGACCCAAGTCAGGATCCAGCCGGCTTTGGAGCCAAAGGCCAGGATTTTGATCTCTTAACTTGCGAATAAAAGTTGCATCCAAGGCTTTGGAGCTTGTTTCCAAGAGAGGCAGCGATCTTGCGCACGCTTACTTGAGAGTAAGACCGGTTGATCTTGGTCAGGCTTACTGTTCCGTAAACATGTAGATAATGGGGTTGTGGGCCTGCAGGGAGAAAGAGAGAGAATGTACCAGAAGTGCATTTAACTGAACTTGTGCTGTCTCAGTTTCTCAATCTGGCGTAGGCCATCATGAGGGAGGAAAGTGACAAATGGTGTCCTTTGCGCTCCTGAACTCAGGGAAAGAAAGTGGTTCCCCATCTGGAACTGTAAACACATACTAGAATTTCAGAATCCGGAGCAAATAGGTGCTAATTCGTGTGTGCTTTTGGTTATTCAAGAGCAGAAAATGCAGGCAGTTATGTGGCTGAAATCACAGTCCTTTGTGATCAAAACACGCCTGAGACTTGTCTCCTTTTTCCTCAACAACCTTTGCAAAGGAAACTCTTCAAGTGGGGCTGGGCACTGGCACAGCTTTCTCCTCTTACCCCTTTCTTTCCTCCTCTGGTCACCCAAATGGTGGTTCCTTTTTGCTGGCATTTTGTTTGTTTATGTCTCCAGTTTCCTTGATGAGGGTTTGGTGGCAGTGAGCCACTGGGCTGCTTATTTTTCCAAGCCATGGCCACATGGCAAACTTGTGACAGCAAAGCCAGAGATTTGGGTTCCTGGAGTTAATGAGGAAGGCTCTCCAAGGCTTCAGTTGGCATTTGGGCAACCTTGGTCCTTTGGAGGAGGCCCTGTCCTATCTCTCTGGCAGTCAGAAAGCTTCTCTGAGTACGTAAACTCATCTTCCTTCATTAGTTTGCATGTGCACCCTGTGGGAAAACTGCGTTTGTGGTGAAACACAGCTTTGGTTCCTGTTTTGATAAGGCATTGAACATGCTTCTGTGTTGACTTCGGTGGTTGATATATAAATATTGGTTGAGAAAGTGAAGTTGGATTTCTGAGCATCTGTGTTTGTAGGAAGAAACTCAGAATGCTCTTGCACTCGGGTTGTGTTGGTTTTTTGCTTTTGAGGTTTCTTCTTTCCCACTGTTCCTAACTCTGCTGCCTTTTAAAATTTTTCTTCCTGCTTCTTGGCCTGCACAAAGTACAGTTGGCAGGAGACTCAGTCCAAGACTCCCATCTTGGAGGCAGCTGCCCCATATCCCTAGCTGAACCTGCTGCTTGGAGGGGACTTCTTCAGGCTTGACACTCGGTGTGCCTTTTTTCATTTCCTGCATATGTGAACCAAACAACAAATGCACCTTCATCTTTACTGGGTTGGCAAGCTTTTCCTATCCCACGTTCCTGAATAGTCTAGATACCGTGTGTTGTCCCAGGGTTAATGAAGGCTTCATACAGTATTTTGTCTGCAACATTCTCTTCTAGAGGATATTTGTACAGTCATTTATGAAAGCTGCAGGCAGCCTTGAGTTGTGTGGGGCAGGAGTTCTGCTGTTTGACCCTATATTATTCCTACTTCCCCAAGGAGCTTTATAGGCTCTTACCTTAGCCACACAACTCTTTATTGTGATTGGTTGCTGCCTTTTCTTTTCCCTGCATGTAAACACCTTAGCAAGTTTTGTCAGGGTGGAAAAACATACTTGCAGTCTCCTCCTTGGCCCCAACTGCACTATACATTGTAAACAATATCATACCACTTTCAACAGCATCCAAAGAATTTTGGGAACTGTAGTTTGTTAGGGGTGCTGAGCGTGGTAAGGAATCCCTATCCAAAGTTACAATTCTCAGAGCTGTTTAATAATCAACCCCTCTGATCAGGGAATTTGGGGAATTGTAGCTCTGTGAGGGGTTTAGAGAAGGGCTAGGCAGAAGGTAAGGATTTCTAGGTGATTTGTAGAGTATCTGCAAGAGCCTCTGGTTCCCAACTGAGCAGCAGCAACAGCAACAAATCATCCCCAACAATTAGGCTGTAGAAAAATAATGCTTAGGGGGAAACCAGGATTGGATTTTTGTTTGGGAAAATACATGCTAGCTTGGTTCTGGTACTGATTACTAACTCCTTGACTGAGTGCTCCGTTTCTTAATTTTTAGTGTATACCTCTCCGCTTTGATCTACTACTTTCAGTGTTCAAAACTAGCCAGGCACCAGGCGCATTTTGCAACTGACGAGGGTCCATTTGCAACCACATGAAGATCTCTGGACGCCAGGTTGGCAACTGGGGAAAGCAAAATGTCACTTAGAGAAGAATCTGAAATATTTTCCTTGAAGCTTGAATTAATTTTATTCTGAATTGTTTTATTTGATGTTTTAATGTGCTGTAAACTGCTTTGAGATTTGTTGTATAAAATATAAAGCGGTATAGAAATGGAAATAAATAAATAAATAAAAAAATAAATAAATAAATAAAAAAATCTCATTGGGGTATGGAATGGCGCCTAGGCATTCCATTGTGGTGACTGTGGCCTAGGCGTAAGGTGCCATTTGGCGGTTAGATTAGATAGTTTCTAACACTGACTACTTTACACCTGACTACAACTGGTGGAAATCGGGGTTCTAGTAAGAAAGAAAGAAAGAAAAAGTACAGTCGTACCTTGGAAGTCGAACAGAATCCGTTCTGGAAGTCCGTTTGACTTCCAAAACATTTGGAAACCAAAGCATGGCTTCCAATTGGCTGCAGGAAGCCCTGTCGGATGTTTGGCTTCCAAAAGAACATTTGCAAACCGGAACACTCACTTTTCAGTGTTAGGGAGCCAAAACATTCGAAAACTAAGCCGTTCGAAAATGCAGGTATGACTGTAGATCCTTGGAAGGTGGTGGACTGTCCTTCCTTGGAGGTTTTAGACAGAGGCTGGATGGCCATCTGCCAGGCATTCTTTAGCTGTGGTTCCCACATTGTAGGGGGTTGGACTAGATGACCCTGGGGATCCCTTCCAACCCTACACTTCTGTGATTCTGTGATTCTATTCTGTAACTCTGAGGTCTGGACCAATTGTCTTCTCGATATAAGCTGACTTCTTTTGCTGATGAAATGTTGTGGAAAATTCTGGTAAATTCTGGAGAATGTTTGGGAGAGAATGCTCACTTCATGTGGAGCGCTGGTGAGGCCTGTTTGGACTTTGCATTGTCCTGTGCACTCCCTGTTCACACATCTTGGGAGCAGCCCAACCAGGTGGTGTGGGCGAATTGTCATCCACAGAAAAACCCTTCCACCATTAACTGTTCCTCTTCACCCCAGGTTCCTTGGAAACCTAGTTTGAAACCACAGCTCACTTGTGATGCGCGCCTGGCTCAAAGGGAGACTGTTGGCCTCACAGCGGTATAAAGTACGGTTGGGGCACAGGTTGTTTCAGGACAGCATGAACTTTTTCTACAAGTTCAGGTAATTAACCTCTGTGAGGTGTGTTACCTGCTGCAAAGGCACTGTTCGGTCTGTCCTTCCTTGAGTGGTGCCTCTTGGAGCCAGATGTGAAATTCTGTAGAAGCCTGCTTAGTGCTGGTGACTTTCCTGTTCTGTTATTTTGCGAACATAAAATAAACACATGTCATATTTTGCAATTCCTAATCTGCTTTTATGGGTTTGAACTCTACTCTGACTCCTGCTCTTGTTTTGGCATGGAGCTTGCTAACAGGTTGCCAAAGTGCTGGGAAGAGATTGTGTCTATATGTATTTATTAATTATATGGCTTCAGTATGTAAAAGCAGGAAGTTGGTGTCTGGACTTCTGAAATTTATTGCTGATTCAGGTGTAATTTATGAATCCACCACTGCATCTAAGTGGATTCTTAGTTAACTCTGTATGTATGTATGTATGTATGTGCAACTTATATATATGGTTTCCAGACAATACAGTCATACCTCATGTTACGTTTGCTTCATGATACGTTTTTTCAGGTTGCGCCCCGCGGCGACCCGGAAGTACCCGAAAGGGTTACTTCCGGGCTTTGCTGCTTGCGCATGTGCAGACGTGCAAAATGACGTCATGCACAGAAGCGGCGAATCGCGACCTGCGCGTGTGCAGACACGGGTTCCGTTCTTTTCAGGTTGCGAATGGACCTCCAGATCCCGTTCGCAACCAGAGGTACCACTGTATGCTCTTACAGTCCGTATATACTTTCTTTATTCAAAAAAAGTAAGTTTGAACATAGGAACAAACATGCAACAAGTTTCAGTTCCCCAACAACCTCAACTACATCCAGTTGTGTTAGTAATGATCAGCACATATATTATAGCTGAGTTTTTTGTCTAGGATCTATGAATAGATGTTACAGCAGGTTGAGTTAAGTGGGAAGCAGGTTGGGAATAGAGGCAGATAGTACTGGATCCAAGGTGGTGTTGGTCCTCATTCCCTAAGGTCTTACACTCCCTTTCCTCCCCTCCAGAATTGCTCATGGATTTTTGGTTCCAAAATTCAAACTTTTTCTCTTTTTGTGTCATCATGGGATGCATTGTTCTGTTGGTCCCCACACTTCTTGGAGGTGTGGCTTCAGATTTCTTCAGGAATTTATTTTTAGTTAATTACTAGCCCGGTGAGCTATTAGCAACCCTTGAGGAAATGCCTATTGTTCACCATAAAGTAGCATGCTGCATGGTGAGTGTTCTGTCTCTTTCTCTTGGCATGGCCCCTTAACAATACAGTCCTGAAATAACGGTCAGCAAATACTGGGGGCTGAGGAACAGAGGAAAGGGGTGGGGGTGGCGGTTTTAATGCAGGGGAGACGGGAAGCAGGTTGTGGTGAATACCAGGGCTATGAACCTGCCAAGCAGCAGCGTGAATGATAATTCTTTAACTTAGAGGGGAGGGCTATGCCCCTTAAGAGCTCCTGAGCAAACATTGACTAATGTGAAGGGAGAACAGCACTGCCAATTTGAACAGGACTTTAGAGAACTTCCAATTTGCTTTATGGCTGTGAAAATGAAGGCTATTAGAAAATAAAAGTTGGAAGTAAAGATTTGTGCTGTCACATGCTCTCTCCCCCCGATGCTGAACATGCTTAAGCTTAGTTTAATATTTCTGTACTAGTGTGAATAAATGGATGGTGAACACGTCCCCTCTCCCCCTCCAATTTTGGCTTGTCTGTAAATTCCTTGCACCTGTCAGCTTCTGTTTGAACCGAGACTTCTAGAGGTCTCTTCAGTCTGCCAAGTATTCCTCTCTTGTCTGAGCCCTCCTATTGTTTTCACTCAGCTGGAAGGGCATGGAAGGTTCTTTATTTTGCTTATGATGGCCATTAGGTTAGTGATAGGCTCTTTCAAGTAGCATCTTTTAATACTGTAAGAAGAGCCATGCTGGATCAGGCCTAAGGCCTGTCTAATCCAGCATTCTCTTCTCACAGTGGCCAACCAGATGCCCGTGGGAAGTCCACAAACAGGACCCAAGCACAACAGTGCACTCCCCATTGGAGACCCCAGGGCAGTTGGTCTTCAGCAGCATGCTGCCTCTGTTACTAGAATGTTTTGAAATGGGACCAGAGCACAGTCCTGTATTTCAAGGAGCCTTGGAGCAAAAATGTCTTCTTGGTGGATGTGAGAGGCACCTCGCGAAGGACAGCCAGCTTTGTTATTCTCCAAGGAGGTGGGTCAGTGATGATAGCTCCCTTCTGCAGATGATGGTCTAGTTTGGAGGCAGGAAATGCAGTTTACCACACAGTATGTATGACTCCTTCAGAGATGGTAGTAGTAATTGGTGCTTTTTTCTGGGGGTAAAGGGTACACATGCCAGCACCCTTTTTCTAGAAGAAAAGCACTGGTGGTAATACATACAGTTTATTTCTTACTTTAGAAAATGCAAACAAAGAAACTGAATGGTACAAGGCAAAATACAACGACATGCACAACAGCATATTTGAATATTTTTAATGTGTGATTTTAAATGTGCTTTATTGTTTAAATTTAGTAAAAGGAGTCTTATGACATCTTAAGGACTTAACAGATCTATTATGGCATAAGCTTTAATGGATGGACTTGTTCCATAACAGATTTGCTCCTATTTTTAAGGTGCCACAAGACTCTTCATTGCCTTTGCTACAACAGAGCAATGCACATATCCCTCTATAAATCTTTCAAAGCATCCTGGAAATTCAGTTGAAGGATAGTTTAATCACTAAAACTAATTTTAAAATCCTGCCTATCAGACTTGCACACGGCTTCTCTCCCCTCTTGATCAGATTTGTCCTCCCTCCCATTTTTTTTGGGGGGGGGTTGTTTGCATTAACCATGGTTAGCAGGTATCTTTACCAAGTTTAATGCTGCTAGCCATGGTAGACTTTAAAGCAGGGGCTGAAGCAGGTTTCACACTTTAGAACAGGAGGAGAGGGATGGAGAGGCGTGTGGAACCTGGAAGGATCCTGGTAGTCTCCTAACCATGGTTAGGAGGTTGGACAGTATTGCATCTGCACATTAGCTTCCCTTTCTAAGGTACAGACCTGCACACACAGAGGTTTCTTTGCCGCATCTGATTTTCTTTTTTCCGAGGCTCCTTCCCGAGTCAATGACTCACCGAGTGTCCTTGGTTCATCTCTCTGTGAGGGGAAAAGGAATAATTTTGTGCAGAAACTATAAACACTTAACAGTTTGTTTCTCTGGAACGCCTCTGCGTAGCCTGAAGTGTGTCTTAGCAATTACTCTCAGCAGTGAAGCAGTTGCTTTTGAGCAACCAAAAAAAGTGTGTGTGTGTGTGTGTGTGTGTGTGTGTGTGTGTTGTGTGTGTTTGTTTAAGGGGGAAAAACCCCTTTCAACTTCCTCTGACTTGTGGAAGGAGGGATTTTGGCACTTTGCTCTAGCGTGTAATGGGTATAAATTATGCATGGTATACAGATAACATTTTATTTGTGGGACTGGGGAGGAAATGAGAGCAGCACATGAACAAAATCTGGTGCGCTTTGTGCCTGCTGTGAATACTTCTTAATTTTTGTTCCTCCTTAGTAAGGCTGTTCTTGATGCAAGCAGTCTCATAGTCAACGTTTTCATGTTTCTTATTTTTATTATTTTCCTTTTTTAATAGACCAGCCAACCTCACAACTCCAATTAGAGACAATTGGGATAAATATATGCAAACTAAGACAATATATGAAAGCTTGTGCTATCGAATGGATAGATGTGTGTTTTGTCTTAAACTCCCTTGCTTTTAATTGATTCATTAATGGGCTAAAATAGATACTGCAGTATCTGTCTCGACGGAGGTGTTATCTGGAGGCTGTTTAATTGAGGTAATAAGCTGTGTTCTGCACACCGTAATGCAACCCAGCCACTTAAATGTTTGAAATATAATTTTTAATCCTGAGCTGGAATTGAGACAGCTGCTAATTAGAGCTGGCGTGGGTGCTGTGTATTGGCAAATGAGTCTTGGCCATGAACTTACTTGGTGGCCTTAAGTAAGCCCCCCTCTCTCTTTCTCAGCCTCAGCCTTTCTGTCTGTAATTTGGGGATAATAATTCTGACCTGCCTTGGAATGTAGTTGTCAGAAAATGCACCTTACGTTCTTTAAACCAGAAGTGACCTGTGGGCAGTCTTGGCCCACCAGGGACGCCAGTTTGGCCCATAAGGCTATTTCCCCAAAACTGCACCAGCTCGCCCATCACCTTATGGGCAGGAGAACAGGCTTTAACCCTGCATTAGCTTTGTGCTCTGCTCTTAGCAGGGAGCAGAACCACACAGATCAGGAAGTAGGATTTGGTCCCCATGCATCCCCTGATGGTTGTGGATTAAACTCTTTCTCCTTTCCCCAGGGGATGGTAGTGACTGATTTTCAGGTGGGTGACCCCACCCACCCGACAAATTTGGCCTGTGAGGCAGATCCTGATAAAGAGTTGGCCCATGGAGCCAAAATGATCTCCCATCCCTCACTTAAATGCTTTGAGAGCAGTATATCTGTGCTCCTTATCAGCATTATTCCTGATGTTACTGCAAAACATCACAGTGCATCTTCCCACAAGAGCAGGTGGCTGTGTGAAGGACACCATCCCTTATGCACCACCAGCATTGACTTCTTAGGGGTTTCCTGTGTCTTGATCCAAGGTGCTGTTTCTCTCTCTCCTGACGTATCTCGACAAAAGCCACTTTTCAACATTCTGTCACATGCAGGTGTGACCAATGAAGCCCAGGATGTGGCTGGTCAAATCAAGGGGCAGACTGCACAAGGGAGCTGGTGTGATGGTGGTGGTGGTTGGGTCGAGACTGACAGTGGCAGAATATAGCTCCCATGCGAATGATTCATTGATTCCAAGTGTGCTGCTTTGCTGCTTTCTTTCTGGATGATTGTCAGTCGCTTCTTTTGGGGAAGAGTAAAAGTGTGTTTTGGAACAGGGTTGTAGTGAGAGCAGAGCCTGCCCTTTGCCCAGCAGTGGACAGCCCAGCTCTTGTAGGCTGGGGCTCCCTCCTCCCCATGCACAAGTCCTCCAGTTGTTCAGCCCACATCCATCAAAATGACTATGTGCAGTTTGCTAGCTACTGATAGTTCCCTTAAACTGCCTGGAACCAATGGATACATTTAAAAATATGCAAATACACTGGCTGCTAAGCAGATTTCTCTCAGGGAAAGTGGTGGGATCAAATGTAAAAATAAAAACATCCGTAGGCGTTTGACAACAGTAGCTATTAGCACAAACACCATTTCATATTTAGCACATCTTGTTCAAAATAATCTATTTCTATAATCAATCAATCAATCAATCAATTGGCTCTTTACTGGAAACTGTGTTCATTTGTATTCCAGAGTATCTGCATATTTTGGTTTACATGGGTGGGAGTATCACCTTCCCAGAATTTATTTTCCCTCCGCTCTGAAAGCCAAACATCTTCTGTGGTTAGGCAGAGTTTGCTTTTGATATCTAAGTGGATTTCTTTTCTTTGTTTCTTTTTTAAACCAAAGCACCATAAAACCTTCACTGTAGAGTCTCTGTTCAGGGCAAGGTCTTAATGCGTCAGAGAACTCCGTTTTAATTGCCTGTTTTCTCCAAGCTCTGATCTTCTGGAATGTTTGCCTCCCAGCTACTCTTCCTTGAACTTTTCAAAAAGAAAATAGATGGTTAGTTCAGATGGATTAGTGGTGTTAGCCTTGGGAGGGCAAGTACATCATAACTCTTGAGAAATTCTTGCTTCCCCCTCCCCCCGAACATATGGCTTGTGAGAAGTATGTTTTGTGTGGTGTCTTTGTTTTACTGAGAACATGATGGTGTTGGGGAACCTGTGGCTTTTCAAATGTTGCTGGACTACAGCTGTCATCCTTGACCACTGGATTGCTGACTGGGGATGATGGTAGTTGGCAGCCCCATAACATTAGTTGGGTTAATCTAATGCATTGTATGTGGAGCTGCCATTAAAGGTGACCTCGATCCTGAAAGAGTTGTGTTGACTACTGATAGAATATGGGGAAGAATTCAAGGTGTTGGTGATGACTTAAAGGTAAAGGTAAAGGGACCCCTGACCATTAGGTCCAGTCGTGGCCGACTCTGGGGTTGCAGCGCTCATCTCGCTTTATTGGCCAAGGGAGCCGGCGTACAGCTTCCGGGTCATGTGGCCAGCATGACTAAGCCGCTTCTGGCGAACCAGAGCAGCGCACGGAAACGCCGTTTATCTTCCCACTGGAGTGGAACCTATTCATCTACTTGCACTTTGATGTGCTTTTGAACTGCTAGGTTGGCAGGAGCAGGGTCCGAGCAACGGAAGCTCACCCCGTTGCAGGGATTCCAACCGCCAACCTTCTGATCGGCAAGTCCTAGGCTCAAACAACATTGAGCCTAAATACACGAAGCTCATACCAATAATAAACTTAGTTGGTCTCTAAGGTGCTACTGGAAGGAATTTTTTAATTTTGTTTTGAGTATCTCCCACTTTAGCTTAATACAGTAAGGTTGATAATCAGGGCAGGCTTCGTCCCTACACCGAATGCTACAGTCTAGTTGAATGGATTAGCAGCAGTTTCAGGACCAACACTAATACTTCTTATTTCTTTGCACAATGCATAATTAGCAGCCATGTTTGTTCATTTATTTCAGGGATGGGGAACCTGTGACCCACTAGAAGTTGGACTGCAACTCCCACCATCCCATCCCATTGGCCATCTTGTCTAGGGTGTCCAGCTCAATCTGAAGGGCTTCTGGTCCCCCACCTCTGAGCTAGTACATTTATGTCCCGCCAGGTCCGGACCAGCTTAGCTTCAGCAAGGCAGCTGCATCATCTGCCCTGAGACCAGGTCCTCGGCTGGGCAGTGTGGTGGTAAGCATTAAGCACAGGGTTCAAAATTAGCAGGGCACCAGGTGCATTTTCTGCCCAAAGATTCTCCATTTGCGAGCACCTCCAAAAGTCTGGGTGCCATTTTTTGTGTCTGGCTGACACTCAAGGATTATTGAAATATATGTGCTTTGAAGCCTCGAAGTATATGTTAAGGAGTTTCGCAATAAAGAGTAGAGTGTTTTGAAAACTGAATTATGATACCAATATTTTTATTATAAACACCAAATTAAACATGTATTAACAGCTTCTGCTTAAAATTTGTCACTTATGTGATTGCATATTAATTTATGCTTATCACAATAATAAATAAAGTGTTGCCGACCCACCACCCAGCAACTGGACATTCTGTTTTGGCGCCCACAACCCAGGTCCCAGAAGCCATTTGGCTCCTAGCCTTTCTATCCCAGCTTCTAACACTGAATTAGAGCGGGGGTGTCTTTCTAAAAGGATCACACAAATTCACATCGTCTGGGGTTATCAACACTTAACAGGTAGCATGCTGCTCTAATACCCAGACATATAACTCTGAATGGCCATCACCTTTGTACCTCACTTGTGATCACCCAGAGGCATCTGGAGGGCTCTGCTGGACACATGCTAGACTAGATGATTGGGCTCCTTGGGCGCTTTTCAAGGGTTTCCTCAGTGAGGAGATGGCAGTGTTTGAAATATTTCCCAGAAATGCATTTCGCCTACTTGTACCAATCTTTTCTTGGGATGCAGAGCCGTGGAAGAGGAATTAGAATACAAGACGGTGCTACGCTGTTCCTTATGCAGAAGTCAGTGTGACTGGTAGTAGAATCTTAACCGCAACTTTGCAGGTGGGACAGCATCCTCCCACTGTACTTCAGGGCAGCAGGCCAGTTAAGCAGGCACAGAGCAGGCTGTGTGATGCACACAGCTCTGCCCTCAAACAACTGTAGGACTTGGGAGGAACAGCGCCCGAGAAGAAGAAGAAGAAGAAGAAGAAGAAGAAGAAGAAGAAGAAGAGGAGGAGTTTGGATTTGATATCCCGCTTTTATCACTACCCAAAGGAGTCTCAAAGCGGCTCACATTCTCCTTTCCCTTCCTCCCCCACAACAAACACTCTGAGGTGAGTGGGGCTGAGAGACTTCAGAGAAGTGTGACTGGCCCAAGGTTACCCAGCAGCTGCATGTGGAGGAGCGGAGACGCGAACCCGGTTCCCCAGATTACAAGTCCACTGCTCTTAACTACTACACCACACTGGCTTGAGGTGGTTGCCTGACTCTTCTTGGTAGGGCTGGCCTTGTTCAGTGTGTTGCAAGTGGCATCCTCAGTTCATGGGGAGGCCCCAAATTGGTTATGTCGATGTGCCTTGGGTGGACAGAGTGTGTGTGCCTTAAAATGCTCCCAGAACCCTTACAAGACACAGGGGTTCCATGGCATGTGAATGATTCATCTGCAGAAAATTTTCCCCTGAAGCGAGGATGTTTGAAACGCTTTGCATCATAGAGCTCCAAAATACTGTTGTTACATGGCAAATTCCTCTTTTAGACTTTCCCCTCTTACCATAATAATTCTTTGTTTTTCCTCCACAAAACTCTCATTTCCCAAGAAGCTGCATCAACATAGATTTACCTCCAGGTCGCTGCTTTCCCCTCTTGTGTGCTGAACTTAGCCGATTTTTAGTGTTTTTGATTCAGCAATGCATTAACCTGCTCCTTCAGAGGCAAAATTGGGCAAACTTGCTAAATTCACATTTCCTTTGTGGTCCCTTGGGTGCTTTCTTTTTCATTCAGCATATTAAAAAGAAAAAAGAGAACCCACAACAAAACAAGCAAATTGGTAGGAGGTCCCTTAAGGGGAATGGCAAGTGCAGGAAGTGGAGCACAAAGAAGCAGGTTGCAGGGGTGCTTCCAACTCCAGTGCAAAAAAAATTATAATATATAATATAATGTAATATAATTATAATACAATACAACAAGGTGATGGGATTTGGCTGCTGCTTCATAAAATGCTTCATGGCAATAAAACACTTTAAGCATAAAACTCAAGGAGTAGTTTTCAAAAACTTGGGAAATACAGTGGATGTACAATGCAGAGGCTGCTTTGAATTAAAAATACAGTGGTACCTCAGTTTAAGAACAGTCCTGTTTACAAATTATTCGGTATAAGAACTCCGCAAAAACGGAAGTACTGTTCCGGTTAGCGAACTTTACCTCTGTGTACGAATGGAAGCTGAATGGTGGAAGGGCACCGGCAGTGGGAGGCCTCATTAAGGAAAGTGCGCCTCAGTTTAAGAACGGCTTTGGTTTAAGAACGGACTTCTGGAACGGATTAAGTTCCTAAACTAAGGTACCACTGTAATATTTCTTAGCATTGTGTGGATATAATACTGCCCCCTTTCCTAGCCATGGTTAGGTGATTAGGATCATTGCATAGGCTTAGGTCTCCTCTTCTCTTCCTTGAATGGATGTTCTCACTTTTAGTTACAAATAACTGCGGTTAGAGTTACATGCAGTGAACTTCAACCATGGTTAGCACAATCCACTGCTTTCAGCTCTCCTAATTGTGTTGCAAAGTGCCATTTGGTGCTCACGTAACTATGCTATTGAAACTGAAAGTAGGTGGGGGAGAATGTTTTTGGGATGAGGGTGGTGGGGAGGGGTTGACAAGCCTGTAGTGAAACTTCCATAACTTCTCAGTCCCACATGAATATTGCTCAATACTTAACAGGCCCTAATCCACTTCATTTCTATGTTTGCCAAAGCCAAACAAACTAGTAAACCTTTTGAACTGGTCAGATTATGCAGAAGCCTGCTGAAGGTTTGGTTCTTGTTGCCTGCTTGAAAACATAGATGTAAAAATCTTCTCCATCTTGTGTTGCCTCTCTTTAGATTGAGGTAGTAATCACTGCTTTGTAAGCTTTAGCTCTATGGGAGCAGGAATAACCTGGCTGCACTCATCAGTGCTCTGGTAACCTGAAGCTTAGATTACTTCAATGTTCTTTACATGGGGCTGCCTTTAAAGATGCTTTGGAAAGTGCATCTGGTGAAGAGTGAGGCCATCTAAAGTTTGACAGGCTTGAGATGAGCTGATCATATAAGTCGCATCTTAACAGAGCTGTGCTGGCTGCCAATATGTTTCTAGGTCCAATTCACAGTGCTATTTTTTATTTGTAAAGTCCTTTGTGGGCCAGGACTCCAATATATTTTGGAGCACCTCTTCTGATAAGAATCTACCCAGACTCTTTGGTCTTCACCTGATGCCCTCCCTGGGGTTCCACCTTGGAGAGAGTGGCAGCAAGGGAAGGGCCTTTTCGGTTGTGGCTCCTTCTCTGTCAGATACTCTCCTCAATGAATTTCTCCTGGAGCCATCATTAACATTATTAAACTGTTTGATTAAAACTTATATATTCTCCCAGACATTTGATGGATTATTACAAGTTGGTTGGTGGTCTGTTGTGCAGAAAGTTCTCTGCTGAATATTTTT